TTTCTCTTTGGTAGTTAACTATTTGATGCACTTCAATTCTCGATTATTAAGGTAGTCACATAACCCTTTTTTTTGGTAGTCAACTACTGGCCAGGGCTAGTATGACACTAGGCTTGGCTATCATAGGTAGTCAGCTACTTAGTGACACTAGTCTTAATTGTCATAGGTAGTCGACTATTGCCTTATGGGCAATCAGCTATAGGATATGACCGATCTTAAAAACTTTAAGTAAGCAACTCTAACCATCTAGTATTCAACTCCATAGGCATCCACACTTAGAATTTCCACACTTAAACTCAATTTAAAGTCTAGGAAAAGCCTAGTCATTTAACCATTGGTCTTTAAGACCTTGGTTAAACCGGGGTTAGTCAATTAAGCTCATTTTGTGTGCATTTTTGCAAATGATTACATCATGTCCTAAATGATTGAAAGATGGTAAGTTCTGAAACATGATGCTTTTAACTTCTCTCTTTCTTCTTCTTCTTGGTAGTTTTCTTCTTAGAGAGTATTCAATTCATCAATAATCACCCCACTTTGTATTTCAAATTATTAGAATTTTTCACAATAATTTTATCAATATTTTAGATTAACCGGCAAAAATCACTTGATATAGTTGCACACTTAAGATTAAACTATTAGTACTCTCAATGAGTTTGTTATCATCAAAACATATTTGATCAACACCTAAGGGGATCATAAAACTCTTGAGGAAATAATTTTAGAAGATAAAAATGCCATTAGAGGAAATCCCAAAAGCACTAGAGACTCATCTGCTTTTTCTAATCCAATTCCTATGATCAAGGAGACTACATAGATGCATTAGGTACCTCTTACCTTGTCATCAAACTAGAATTCAATTTTTTATCATACAAACCATGTTTTTGCATCACAATCTTGCATTCTCCAAATTAGTGCAACATTTTTGTCTGCATAGGGTTAAACCCCAAACAAGTAGAGTGCTAACTTATTCCTCTAGGGTTAAAGGAAAAATATTTCAAAGAAATCAATATAGGGGTTGGTGTGATAAGATGCCCTACGTTTTTTTTAAGAAAAGAGGATGCACTATAAAGCTAAACCTAGCTGTCTTTGTGGAGTAGGTCTTTCTTTCAAGAAGGTTTCAAAACCCTTTAGACAAATTCCATTAGTAAAAATAATTTCTCAACTACCTATGCGAATTGCTTCCTTCATGTTTGTCATGGATTGGTTATGGGGACTCTTTCTTATTAAATAAGTATGTTCATGAGCTGTTGAAAAATAGCCTTGTGGGTGCCAATATTAATTTTGAGTTTGTACTGTCAGGCCTTGGGTCCCCCTCGACTATTTGGGCTTTAAAGGAGTCTACTCAGAATTTAAAGCCTAATATGGTTTTTCTTATAAAAACCAAGTGTTCCCTTTTAGATTGTAAAAATAAGCTAGGTTGTTCAACTCTTGGGGCTGTTGGGGTGTTGATTCAAGAAGTCTTGCAAAGGAGTTGGTCTTGTTGTGGGACCCAAAAGTTAATATTAGTATCCTAAAAGCTAGTAACAAGTTTATTCACACAAAATTTGCTATTGATGAAAAAGGAGAATGGTTGTGTAGCTTTATTTATGGGGAGCTCTATAAGAACAAGAACAACAAAGATTTTGAACATGAAATATAGAGAAAGGGAAACCAATAAGCCAAATTGTTTAGCTTATTGAACATGAGAGTACTTAATGACTAAGGACTTGAGGAGATTGGTTTTCATGGGCCTAGGCTCACACGGAATAATGAAAAAAAAAGTTATAGGGGTGTTTTTACCAAAAATATACAATCGCTCATTTACAAAAAATAATATAGTATGAGGGCTGTGTCACACACAAAAAGGTGTTCCTTATGATTTATACTTTTGTTTTGAAAAGTTCCCAATCAGTACCTTGTATTTTGGGCCTTGTGCCACTTTGGTCCCCAAACTTTAAAACATGACAATTCAGTACCCAAACTTTCAAAATGTGCCAATCTAGTAACTGTTGTTAACCAGCCATTAAGTGGCATTTGAAAAGACACAAATGCCCTTCGAGCGTCATCTTAGGTGGTGTTTGATAAATCTAAAATCTAAAATTTGAAAAGTTAAAAAGAAATTATTTGTGTCTGAAATTTGAAAAGAAGCATAGATGCTTTTCTACTTTTAGAGGCTCTAAATAGATAAATTTATTTGTGTTGGATAAACCTTTAACATATGAAATTCCCTAACTTTACTATTCTACCCCTAGAACATACTATTTGATAAAAAATATAAAAAAAAATAATTTATTAAAATCAAAATAATATTGAAAAGTATGAATAAATTCCAAGGACTCCCACCTCCTCTTCATTCCTAACCCCATGGTCGATGAGTAAATTCCTAAACTTCACTCTCGCATCCCTCAACATTGTGACACAGTGGGTCATTAGTTGGGGTTGGTGCTTATTACGCCATCTGATCTTGGACGGAATTCGTTAGAAGCTCTGCTTGGAAGAGGGAAGTAGGTGTTGATGGACAATGTGGAGAAGTTAAAGCCTTGGTTTGTTGTTGTTCTTGAGCACGAAGAGGGGAAGCTGGTTCTCGAGCATCAACAGGTCGCGTTGGTTGCAATGGTGATTGAAGGAGGAAGCTTGTCGTCGGAGAGGAGAAAATAGATTGCCGCTGCTGAGAGTTGTAGTGGCAATCGAAAATGAAAAAGAAGAAGAAGAAGAAACTTGCCACCGGAGAGGAGAAAATAGATTGCCACTACTAGGAGTTGCATCAGCCATTGAAAATGAAAAAGTAGAGAAGGCGGAAGCCACGAGACTAGAGAAGAAGAAGAATGGTGGCAGAGAAGATGAACAGTGCTCACCTGAGGAGGAAGCTTGCCGCTGTGTCAAGTGGAGAAGATGAATGGTGCCCGAGAAATGCATATGTTTAGTTTGGATCATTTTAAGGGTATTTTGGACTTTCGGCCAGGTCTAAAACGCATCTGACCGCGTTCAACACCTAGCCTATGTCTTATTGGTTAAGATCTGAAAGTTCATTTCAGATCCAAATTCAGATGCACTTCTAAATAGTTTTGACGTTTGAAAAGTAACATTTTCAAACTTTAGACGTTTGAAAAGTATTATCAAACGCCACCTTATTTTCTTTATTAATCATCCAAATTTTGACAAAAATGAACATCCCCAAATTCTTTTCTCTTCTATTCAAGAAAGTTGGCGTCACGTCTCATTGGGCATTCTAGTGACCCCGACTTTCTTGAATAGAAGAGGTAAGGATTTGGGATTGTTCATTTTTTCAAATATCACTTAATTGAACAGTCCCAAATACCACTTAATAGGGAAGGCACTAAGTTGGTTTGTTTTGAAAGTTTAGGTAGTGAATTATCACATTTTAAAATTTGAACACCAAACTAGGATTAAGCCAAAAATATAGGGTACTAATAAGAAAATTTTTCTATTTTTTAGGGAAAATTCCACTTTAGTACCTTGAACTTTGGGAATAGTGTCAAGTTAGTACCCGAACTTTCAAATGTGTCACTGTAGTATCCAAACTTTCATGTAAAAGGACAAAATTCCCATTATCTATCATCTAATTTTCTTATGATTGGTATCTGATCTCTAATCAGTAATCACCTCCGATATCAAACTGGTTATGGATTTAGGTATTAACGCCGACGATGGAAATACAAAAATGAACAAATAATTTTTATTGGCAACCATGAAGAGAATCTCATTCATTGAAGGTAGAAATCACCGATAGCGTTGATAAAAGAATCTTGGTGCATGAGAGAAAGTGGCGATGGTGGAGGTGGTGAAGGAATGGTCACTGGTGGGATCTCAAGGGCGTCAAGCAGAGGAGGGGAATGTCGCCACTGAGGGAGAGGTCTGGCTAGGAGAAGCATTTGAAGTACAAGCCCAGCTTTCATCATTGCTTGTACTTCTCCAACAATGGCCTAACTGGTTCTAATTGTATTGTCGTTACTTTGGTGTACATTTTCTTAGATACATCATTAAATTCCTCCTCCCTTGCATACAAAGATCCCCCCGGTCACCTGGTGGCCGTGTCAACAAAAGATATATCATAGATATTTGAAATTCTCCTTTTAATTACAAAAATAGTATTCTAGAGATGAGCAGAGAAAGTAGGGAAACACCTTTTTCCTCTTCTCCATTTTACAGGTGGCTGGATGATTCCTTGCTTTATGGCTGTTTTCTTCCCCTTCACTGCAATAAAAGAAAAGAAAATCACACTTAGCAACCAACGAACATTTTAATAATACCATGACGGTTGAGCAGGAGTACAACCCACCTCTGGTCTTGGTAGAAGTCTCCATCCTCTGGCCATCCTCTGCTGTAGACAAATGTGAATGAATAAAACAAACTACAACTCAATTTAGTTTTTACAATTTTCAGTGTGTGTATTGGCGTCGGTCATTTTTAATTCGAAATAGTGGTTATAGATTCTGTTATACTAGCTAATGCTTGATGGTAGCCATCACTATACAAACTAAAACTGCAAAACTAGCAAACCGATGATGATGGAGGAACTAAAAAAATATGTGAATGCCACTTCGATGTTTCTAATGGGGTAATGTAACATGGTGTTTTTTTTTTGAATGTTTTATGGGCATGTAGTGGATCTTCTAGGTTGGAGGTGGGGAAGGAGGAGAGTGTCGTTTGGCCTGGCTTCGTTCTCTCTTCCTTCCCGTTCTGTTTAGAGGTAGGCCTACCATTTAAAGGTAGAAGACAATGAATGATATCTTCATTAGTCCAGAATCTCAAATATCTCAACAATTTAGTATTGTAGAAGACAATGAACAATGTCTTCTTTTGAAGGATAATTTTGACATTTTCAAAAGTTTTAACTTACACATATCATCACCTTTTTGAAAATTTGGATACTGCAGTAATACATTTAAAAGTTCGGATACTAACTTGACACTACCCCAAAGTTCAGGTACTAAACTGAAAATTTCCCTTTTTTTAAGGCATTCTACTTTCTACTACTCTACTATTAACTAATGCCTCCCTCGGCGACTCGACTCTGTCCTCCCGTTTAAAACTCGGCTTTAGCGCGAGCGAACGATTTATAACCCAATCTCCCTCCCTTTCTCTCTCTCTCTCTCTCTCTGCTCACCACCTATCTCTTCACCATATCACTTACAAAGCCATCTCTCTTCAAATACCCGCCAAAAAGGTGTATAAGCGGATCACAGTTTTTCAAAATTTTGAATACCTGTCTTGTTTCCTCGTTTTCTCTCCTCCCTACTCTCCTAGGGTTTCTGCGCTCCCTCCGCTCTTACCAATGGCTTCTGATCTCTCTCCCTTGCAGGTTTGTCCGCCGATTTCCGCCTATCGGAGCTCGAATTGGACTCGGAATTTTGGGCTGATGAGAATTGCCGGCGGTGGAGTTCGTGGCTCGCATCGAACGTTTCGTACGGATGGGGTTGTTCTTCGTGTGAATGGATGAGTTTCTTGCAGTGAGTTAGGGGTTTGAAGGATTTGTTTGGGGATATGGATCCGCCGAATCTCGACGCCAGTGTTCCGCCGGAAGTGAAATCGGACAGCACAACAGCTTTCGTCGGCGAAAAGAGGCTGCCCGAGAATGACGGAGGAGGTATTTCCGATGCTCGGTTGCATAAGAAGGCGAGAGGGGCTTCGGGCGGGGATATGAAGAGGGTTGCCGAGATTGTTTTGGTTTTATCGGCTTTGGGGAAGATGCGAGGTGGGAGGAGTCCAACGGCTGTGGAGAAAGATCTGATGGCGGAGGCTAGGGAGAAATTGGCGGAGATGTGCGAAGCACTGGCTCCGAAGGATATTCTTCCGAGTAATGCTGTTAGGGTTGTTATTGAGGATCTCGGGCTTAATAGGTCCAGAGATCAAAGGTTAGGGTTTCGCCCTCCAAAGATGTCTATCGCGGAGAAGTTGTCGCTTACAAAGAGAAAGGTGGTATTTGAACTTCTGCTGTTTTACATATATATACTTTGTTTTCCAATATACTATGACGTTGTATGTTCAATTTCTATTTTTCGTAGTCCGTAGTTAAAAATTACACTCGTGCCCTAATTCTAGTAGATTTTGCTTGGAGTGGGGCTCTTGATTCTAATTCCTCATTCATTTTCCTTCCCTAAGCAAGACTGAGTATAAAACTAGTCAGAATAATAGACGAAGGAAGTATAGATAATAGGATGCCACTAGTTGACTGTAAAATAATGGAACGTACTTGAAAGACTTAATTTTGATGACTGATCCTTGGGACATTAGTTGTGATGTAATTGCAGTATCTGGCCAACTAATTACGCTGGAACCTTGTTAGTTTGATTCAAAGCTTACTTTAAATGGAAAAAAGATCTTGCATTTGTTGAACGTGCTCACTGTTTGAAAAGCAAAGACCGTTAGGCATAGTTTTCTTCAATCTTATGAGGATTTGGTGTATTGTGTTATGTGTTATATACTGATAACTGATGTAGGGAGGAGGCTTAATGATTTTCTTTGATAAGTCAAGAGGTGTAATGTTACTTCGTTCAATGGTGTTTGTGAATACTTCAAAAGTGAGAAATACCTTGGAAGTTAAGAGTAGCTAGAGCCTAGAGCTTTGGTTACCATCTTGAATTGATCATTCACATGATTTCTCAGAGCAGAAAATCGTTTGGCAGATTACCTTGCAAAGATTTGGGGTTTCAAAAGAACTTCTTTTGTGGGAATCAACTAGGCAGGGGGAAAATTGTAAGGTATTATTAGAAAAACTAGGAATTGTCAGCAAAATGCTATTCTTATACCTTGTTGCCAAACTTTTGAATAGCAGGAAAATGACTGTTTTGTAATGAACAAAATATCTATTTACTTTATTATAAGAAACCTTCAAAAGTGAGAAGTTTCTTACCGGATGGGTATGTATATTTCTATCACTAGATCATTTCCTCTTATTGCTATGTTGGCACAGTGTTTGTTAGTTGATACTTCAAAAAGATGTTTCTCATCAGACAATTATGTGCATTTCTATTTTTGGATACATTTCCCGATATTGCTATGTTGAAATGGTGTTTAAAATTTTCCTTTTCTTTACAAAAAATGTTGGAATGGTGTTGGTGAACATTTCAAAAATGAGAAGTTCCTCATCAGATAGTTATGTATATTTCTATTGATTGTTTATTTTAATTGAAACGTAATGTAGATGGATGCAGTGGGTTGCGGAGCTACTGGTTCATGATTGCTAGGTGGACAGTTTGAAAAATTATTTCTGTTTTCCTAAAATTTTGCCAGTTCTGCTGCTGACTTACCCCCCTAGTGTTTTAAAAGTGCAAGGGCCGTCAGAAAATTCAAAAAAAAAATGCAAAAAATTCAAAAAATATTAAACATAATGTTAATAAAAAATATAAACTTAAATTTTAAAATAAATGTTTTAAAAAACCTATTATCTAAAATTAAAATACATTAACATAACATGTAAAGTGTATTCAAATGAAAATTTAAAAGTAAAAAAAAAACATATAAAGCATTTTCAAGCATGTAAAACCCACAATCTCTTTTTTTCCTTAATTGCATTGCTTCAAGTAGCNATTCTTGATTCTATGAGTCGCCTTTGTACTATGCCCCTCGAGGCAAGCCCGGACAAGTCTATGTTAGGGTCTGAAATTCTTATTTCTCACATAAAAAATAAWRAYTTTAYAACTTYCMYTGCCTTTTAAGAAGATATTTTATTGCAATGAATGAATGAACAACATTAGCCCAGTCATTAGATTAAAAAAAAAGCAAAAAGCGCAAAATTTTAAAAAGGCGCACGCTTGGGCTGAGGCGCATCAGGCAGGTGCCTTTTGAAAGGGGTTCGCCTAGGACCTGGGCGAGGCGCACACCCCAAAATGTGCCTAGGCGTGCCTTTTAAATCATTGCTCCTCTCCCCCCCTATAGTATATATAGTAGTTTGAAGGCCTTGATTGAATCAATCTGATTAGAGTGGCTAGGGCTGTTCACGGGTCGGGTTGGGTCGGTTTATTGGCATTTTTCCAACCGACCCGACCTGGTCGGTTTACCTAGAAATGAAACCGAAACCAACCCAGTACTAAGTAAAACCGGCCTGGTCGGTTTGAATCGGTTTGGGTCGGTTTTGTGAATGATTCTTTCGGTGTAAACGGTAAAGGATTCAAGTCTAAGAAAGCAAAGGCTGGATGCCTGGAAATTAAAAATGATTTGATGGATTAAAACTGATATTTTATATAACAGAAATTTTATATGTAATATGTATATTTTTGAAATAAAGCTGAAATATATATTAAAACTGAAATATATATAATATATATCTAAGTTGGTTCGGGTCGGTTCGGTTTTGGTTTTCACACATGAAAACTGAAACCAAACCGAACCATCGGTTTATGTTTTTTTGTAACTCGAAACCGACTGGTGCTGAAGAAAAACCAGCCAACTCGGGTTGGATCGGACCGGGTTGGTCGGTTTGGGTCTTGTTATGAACAGCCCTAAGAGTGGCTCAATGGCTGAAATCCTTAGAAAGCTTCTCACATATATCCACTGATGACATCATTAGAAACTGGAAGGTAGTGGCAGACTCAGATGTTAATAAGCAGTCTGTTATTCCTATCTGGACCCCTCCTGAAAGAGGATTTGTAAAGCTTAACTTTGACGGAAGTAGCATGGGAAACCTAGGAAGGTCAGGAATTGGAGGTGTATTCAGGGATGAGGAGGGTAAAATGTGTGCATTATTCTCAGGGCCAGCAGGTGAAGGAGACTCACTAAGAGTGGAAGTAATGGCAGTTATTGGAAGGGTGCAAAGGGCTAGAACCATGAATGCTAGGAAGATAATCATTGAAGGGGATTCCAAACTGGTAGTGGCTTGGCTACTGGATGAGGAAAGTAGGATGTGGAAATATAATAATGAGAAGAAAAAATTCAGATGGATTACAAAGGACATGGAACTGAGAATACAGTGGGTGAAAAGAACAGCTAATGTGATGGCTGATGCATTAGCCAAGCAAGGGGTTGGGAGAATTCAAACATTTTGGGCACAAATGTAATTGTAATTATAACTAAAGTTAAAGGGGAGAGATAAGAGAGCTTGTCTCTCTCTCACTTTCTCTTGTACACTTTCTTTTAAATTCAATGAAGTAATCAGTTATTCATAAAAAAAAATTATTTCTGGTGACTTTAGTGTAGGTCCCATGGAACTTGATCTTTGCTGATGACATATCGTTAGTTGATGAAACTAATGAAAATGAAGGATTAAATGCAAAATTAGGTTTATGGACAACTATATTAGAAACAAGAGGTTTTAAAATAAGTAAGACTAAAACAGAATATATACAATGCGAGTTTAATGATAATAGGAGTGCAAACCAGGGTACATTAGGATTGGAGACCATGAGATAGCTCAGTGTGACCTCTTCTGTTAGCTTGGTTCAATAAATAGCTCACAACTAGGGGGAGATTGAGGAGGATGCCACTTATAGAATTAGAGCAGAATGGACAAAATGGAGGGGTGCATTAGGGTCTTATGTGATAGGAAAATACCACTTTGGCTAAAAGGAAAATTCCTTGAAACAGTTGTAAGGCCATGTATGCTGTATGGAGCAAAGTGTTGGGCAATTAGGAAATAGCATGTCCACAAAGTGAGTGTTGCAGAAATGTGAATGCTTAGATGGATGAGTGGAAAACTAGAAAAGATAGGATCAGAAATGAAGTAATTTGAAGGAACCTAAGAGTAGCTCCACTAGGTCATATAATGTCAGAAAGTAGACTAAGATGGTTTTATCACATGCATAGAAAACCATCTACAGCACCTGTAAGGAGGGATCTGTTGAAAGTAGAAGGGGCTAAAAGGGCTAGGGGCATACCAAAATGGATGTGGGTTGAAGTAGTACGAAATGATTTAAGTGCCCATGGTTTAACAATGGATATGTCACTGAACAAAATGGAATGGTGAAAAAAAGATTCATGTAGCTGGCCCCATATAGTTGGGACAAGACTTAGATGATGACAATGATGATGTTTATGTTTATTTAACCATTTTAACATTTACTTTTTGGTTGTCTTTGTATACATTTATACTTGGACCATTGTATTATTTTACTGGAGATTTTTTTTTTGTCCCAGAAAAGGAAATTCTTGAATCATCAACGTAGGGATTTGCTTTTAAAAACTGTGCATGAATGATGCTTTTTCTGTGGTTTTATAGTCTTTAACTGGTAGTTGGTTGCATCATGTCTTATCAGGTCATTGCTTCACCTGATAATCCCCCTTGATTTTGTTCTGCAGATGGAAGAATCCAAGGGGTTTGCTGCACAGTCTGCAACATATTCTTCCCCATTGTTGCAAGTGGGCTTTAGTGCAACAACTGAAGGCCGCAGTTCATTATTACAGGCTGGTCATAGGTTTCCACCAGAAAAACCCACCCATACACCAGTGACTGCTGGAGCTTTTCAACCTGCTTCAGCTGCAGTTCATGTTTCTGCTCTATCTTCTACTCCCTCATTGAATCAGTTGCCTGTCAATGAAATGCCATCAACTACGGTGTCCCGGGGATTGTCTACAAGCCCATTAGAGAAAGATTCCTCTTTACCAGTGCCTCGAGTGGAAGTGGCACATTTCAGATTAGATGGAAGATCAAATGGGTCAGCTTACACATCCCAAGTTCAAGGTGCTGCCTGTTACCCTTTATTCCTTCATTTCTTTTCAAATTTCAAGTACAACACCATGGTGAAAGGACAACTGCTTTTTTGTACATACAGTCAGTATACATCTCTCGCTCTCTCTCTCTCTCTGAGGGTGCTCCTGCTAGAGGGCTTTCTTAGAGAGTAGACTATGCCAATATTTTTCTTTTCTGATCACATTATTGGATCAGGGATTGTTACTATGGATGTATACATTAGTAGACATAACCAGTTGTTATTAGTGTCAACAGTTAAATAATGATGATCCACAAGACCTTTCAAGTAGGACCTACCTATTAATGTGCAGAGTTGGTTCCAATGATCCATCTGATCATGTGACTTGTTCAGAGAATTCCACTATGGATGTTTGTACAAGAAGATATAACCAGTGATAGTTTGTATCAATGGTTAAATTATGTTGATGCACAAGGTGTTTTAAGTGGAACCTACCCATAAAATGCACAGAACTGATTCCACTGTTCCCTTATTGTCTGACTGGAGTGCTGGGCTGAGATTTTGATCTGTTTTTAGATGGGGTTGGGGGAGCGGGAAGAGAAAATCTGCTATTTTCCGGGTTCTGCAGTTTGTTCTGAAAATGTATCCTTGTGGAATTCGGAAAGCAGTGGACTTTTGCCATGTTTCCTGCTGTTTCATTGGAAAAATGGAATCGTTACTAGGGCTAGTCATTCTTGAAACCACCCGTTTTTTCCCTTTCTTTTCCATTTTCCCACTCCCCATCCAATCCAAACATGAACTTAGTTCTTAAAAAGAAACAAAGAAACCTTGAAGGGTACTTTCAGTTTCTTCATCATATCTTTCAATATTGTAAATAATTGTGTTTTTTTTATAAATAACAACCATCAATGGATTTAATTAGTAGTGTAATGAAAAAGGAAAGTCTCTTTCCTTGAGGAACAACATTTCGACTGACTTATCTTTCAAGAAAAAAAGTGGAAACAATTCTATGCAACTATATTCCACCCCCTGCTGGTTCCCAAGAACTAGTATTTTCCATCCAAGAGTGGTTCTTGTTACCCCTTCCCTTGTTGATGAACCCACAGGCACATTAACTGATTTAGGGAACCAAATGAATGAGCTGTTTGGACTAGAGGCAAAAATTTGCTTCTCCAATTTGATGCATTGAAGTCTGTTAGTGGAAAAATTTTTAGTATAATTTCTCACATAACATATTCACCTAATTAGACTAATTACTAGGCTTTTTGATATTTGGGTAAGTCCCATTTAGGACATCACGTAGATGTTCCTTTGGTTACATCTTTGCTAAAGGCAGAGAAAACCTCTTGATTTTGGTTTAGAAGTACAAATGAATAAACTAAACTAAGTAGGGACTTTCCTACAAAATTAGGAAAATTCTGGTGCATATTACCTCTTTATTTGAGAGAAAACCAACAAATGTAAATAAATAATTTTTTCCTATGCATAACAAGCAAATAAAGACCATAATTAGCCATATTTCATGAATAAGGATGTAGATGACCTTTAAATACTGTTTATGTGTATTATCATGGTGTAAGGAACCATGATCAGCTAGGTTCTCTAAACTAGGTTGTAGACGGTTTTTTTCCTCAGACAAAATAATGATTTTCAGGGTCAAAATGAAGTAAGGAACCATAATCAACCAAGTTTCAAGGACAAGGTTGTAGATGGTTGTTTCCTTGCTGTAATTTTATGGATTAAGATTGAGTAATGAACCATAATTAGCCAAGTTTCAGAGACAAGGCTATAGATGGTTATCTCCCTACATGTATTTCAGTATGAGACAAGGAAGAAAAGCAAGAAAAAAAATAAGGGAAGAAAGAAAGGGGGTGAGAGGAGTAGAAGGAATATGATCCTCCATCTCATGTGGGGAATATCTTAGTAAAGAGGTGTAGGATGAAAACAAGATTCCCTACCTTCCTCTTCTTTCATTTTTTATGTTCTTCACACCAATCTTCTTTTTCTCTCTTCTTACTTGCTACTTAGTGCTGGAAATCTTGTAGAAAAATTAGTATTAGCCAACATAATGGCATTAGGGGAAGGTAGTTAGGTAACTCCCCACCCCTCTCTTCTTAGGGTGCCAAGTGTCACCCCACTTAGAATTGTTTAAGGAGAGAAAAGAAAACTCTTTCTTCCTAGGGTGACATGCGTCACCCCATTTAAAGTGGTTAAGGAGGGAAAATAACTCCCTCTTCCTAGGGTGACATGTGTCATCCCACTTAAAGTGGGTAGAGGAGGGAAAAAAATCTTCTCTTCCTATGGTGACATGTGTCACCCCACTTAAATTGGTTAGAGGAGGGAAAAAAATCTTCTCTTCCCAAGGTGACGTGTGTCACCCCACTTAAAGTGACTAGAGGAGGGAAAATACCCTCTTGTTATGATGGGACAAGTGGCATCCCTTTTGTAAATAAATGGAACAACTCACAAGATTATTAACTAATATAAATTTAATTCTTATAGGGCCTTTTGTCCCATTAAATGGGCTCTACTGAAGGCCCATTAAATGCTTATTGCGTCATAAGGCCCAATTAACTTAGGGCCTGCTATTCAGTAAAATGGGCTGCAGGCCCCTTTCTTTCCTAAACAAATTATTTCAACCCACCCATAGGACTGGGCTTAAAAGATCAGCCTGGAAAGAAAGGCCCTTTTCTTTCTTTTTTTTTTAAAGCTTTGATTGGGAGTACCTTAATGACTTGCTCCCAGTCCAGCAAAATTAAGGACTCAACGAAGTCCATGGGCCTTTAATAAATACTGTCATCAACCCAATAGCACCTCTATGGTCATCTAATACTTAAAGATCATCCCAACTGACTGTGTAGGCAAGTTTGATCCCTTTATTGTCCTATTCTACTTAGAGCATCCCAGTCATTGTATAAGCAAGTAATTTGGCTCACAAATAGGTGATCTCCTGCAAGCAAAACCTCTGCACACACTCTGAACACATAGACATCTAACTGCACATAGGGAACATCTCCCCTTGAATCTAACATAGATGTACATGAGATATTCCTGATGCGTGGCTGGATGCCATGTGTGCAGTGTTTTTTCTTTCAGGAGATCCAGGCTCATTATCATCACCCACCAGCCTTGAAACATGTTGGTACCCAAAATATCTTTAAGGACACCTCCTATACTGGGTGAGCTTGGATGTTCTATGGAACAGCCATATCAAACTTATCCTCTCTTAAAAAGAATAAAAAAAGCTTATATATGTTGGTGTCTTAATTTGATTTGCCTGCCTTCTTTATGGATTTCTTATATAGCAACTATTAGGATGAACTATTTTAAGAAGGTAACAATTTACATTTACCTGCTTCACTGATAAACTAACTCAATTGTCGCTGCAAAAATCTGAACCTGTCAGAAACAAGATTTGGATTTCTATATTCCAAATAATTACTTTGGTGGTTAGAAGTTTAAGGGGTTTGATTTCTTTTGACGAGTAAAATGAAATGAGATTCCATTTGATGACTACTTCATTTCTGATTTATCATTTTTTTAAGGGGCTTGTGATATTATTCTTAATCAACAAGTTCTGTTCTAATGTCAAGAATATCAAATAAGAGTAACCGAATGCTTTTTTCCCACTGAAATGGTGATGTGATACATTGATGGTTAATTTGATTGATCTTGTGGTAAGTTCTGTTTCAGTTGTACCTCACGCATAATATCTCATCTTTGAAGGGGTTCTGCATTTCATCTTACAAGTTGCTGTCAATGTGATTATTTTTTTTTTGATATTCCAATTATTGCTTGGGACATGTTGAAGAAATATTATGATAAAGTATGCTATATAATTGTTTTTTAGGATGTATTTGGATCATTGTATCATCTCTATTTTGGTAAATTAGCTTCTAATAGTTTAGTTCATTCCTATTTGCAAAGAAGTTGGTATTAAATCTACCATTTTATTTCTTCTCACCCTTTTTGTTGGTTGCTTGCCACCACAGTAGCAAGGTTATTATTGGATGATGCCTATCTACTTTATAAGAGATATGGTGATTTGCAGTAATTCCATATTTATTAACAAAATCCTCTTTGATCTTGTTAGCAATGAAAAGAAGAGCTTGGATTGAATTTAAGTTTTTACTGTTTTACTCCTAGAAGTTATACAGAGGGAATAATACTGTTAGATATTAGACTCATCAGCACATCTCCTGGTACCCTTTTATGGTAGTAGTTTTCTTCATGGTAGTGGGGTTCTTTATGGGTCAGGCTATCTACTTTATAAGAGGCATGCTGTTTTGAACTAATTCTATAATTGTTAATGATATCCTCTTTAATCTTTTTAGCAATAAATAAAAAGCTGGGATGGACCTTAAGTTTATGCAGATTCACCCTTGGCAGTTATACAATGTGATTAATATGATTGTGTATTGAGTTGTGGCATGCGTATCTCTGACCATAAAAGTTTTAGCTCATACGTTTACCGTGTTCTGCCAGATAACTTTATCTGCACCTGCATTCTCTTAGATGCCATAATATATCTAATACTGTTTGTGTGCAGCAAATCATTCTGGTGATCATTTGCTAGACAAACCTGCAACGTTTTCCTTCCATCCTCATTCTGCAGCGGTAGCCAAAGTTGGTCAAGTAAACAAGGTACTGGATCATACTCCTATCAAAACTGAAGGAAGCACCACAATGGCTCTTCAAGCAGCAAAAGATCAGATTTGTAAACCTTCTGTAATTCAAACTGCACCTGGAAACCTGCCGAGTGCATACCAATCTTCAATGGGCATGAATTTTATGCAAACTCCTTCACTTTACACTAATCACAGTGACATTGCAAGGAATGTTCAGAAGTTTTTGCAACCAAGGATTCCTGAACGTCCTAACTGGATTCCACCTTCAGTAGATTACATGAATAAGACCTTATCTTGCCAAATATGCAAGGTTACAATCAATGACGTAGAAAGTTTACTTGTATGCGATGCTTGTGAGAAAGGAGTCCACTTAAGGTGTCTTCAATCCTACAATCTAAAAGGCATTCCTAAAGGTGAGTGGCACTGCCCTAGGTGTCTGATATCAAGCAATGGGAAACCTTTGCCCCCTAAATATGGTCGTGTAACAAGAAGTATCACTGCACCAAAAGTATCTTCAAGCACAACTGGAGATCAATCTTCTTTAGATAAGGTGGAAAGTTCAGATGAGAAGATTAATCACCAGAAAGTAATCATGAATGGAAATCTAGGTTTGCAGAATCCTGCCAATGTTTGTAGTACAGGCAACAACCATAATGAATTGGCTTTTGAGTTAAGGATATCAAATGAAAGAGAAATACAAGGGACTGACATTACAGTAAACAGAATAAAAAGTGAAACTTGCCAGGCTATATTATTTGAAACTGCCCCAGCAGTTCCAGCTTCTGTTCCTTGTTCTGGTACACCAAATCAAAGTTTGAATCAATCCACTCAATATAGTGAATCATCTCAATGTGACAGAGAGAGATCAATGTTGGAGCTCAAGGTGTTGCCAAAATCTGAACCTGAGCACCCTTGTCAAGAAAAACCATCTGATATAGGTTTTGACACTTGTTATGACTTGCAAGCATCAGGTGATTCAAAAGATGCTGGCAAAACTAGGCCATTGAATTGTATTGAAGTTTCTCCAAATCAGCATCCTGCTAACAATGCCATCTTCAAAGAGCCTGTGATGCCTGATTTAAAAGAGGCTTCTGAATGTAAGACAAGCTGTGATATCAGGGGAGATGCCCAAGATGTTGCTCAAGCAAGTGCTTTTGGGGCTTCAGATGTTGGAAATGGAGTTAGAGACTTCACTAAGTCTTCAATAGATGGCTTGCATAGTGTGGATTGGGTTGGTGATGTACAAGAAGTCGTAGATGAGAAGGCATTTTATCAATCTTGTCGCATTAATGGAGTTGTGTACAATCTGCTAGATCATGCACTTTTTTGTTCTAACAGTAACAATCTAAGACCTTCAAAGCTTCAGGTAAACCATCGTCAATCTTACCGTGACTCTTTTATCTTTTAAATGGGAAGAAATGGCCTCTACACCAGTGAAACTCTAGTTCCATCATCTGATGCTAGCTTTTGTTGGGCTTATAATGGCCCTATAATCTTTTTTTTGAAGGATAACAATGAAAATTTTATTAAATTAAAAAAGCAGTACATCTCAACAAATGGTTGTCAAGTTGACAAACCACATAAAGATCAGATCAAACTGAAAAAGATTCAAAGCTATATGGATTCAGCTCCAAAGTGCCCCAGAAATTCTCAATCAAATCAGATTCAAATTCCTCACTAACTCTCTCCTCCTCCCTTACCTCAAACCCCTCGCGTTCCAGCTAGGTATCCTCATCTTCCCCCCTCCCCCTTGCTTTCCCCAACCCCCAAAAGTCACTCAATGTTGTCCAGACCCTCCTCTTCTTCCCCTTCTTCGTTCCACCCCTTATTTTTTCCAGAATTTCTTCCCTTCTCTTCTTCTCTTCTCTTCTCTTTTTCTCAAAATTTTCAAAAGCTATTTTTACAAAGCCTTCCCCTCCCCAAAATATTAAACCAAGGGATTTTTCTATCTCTACCTCCCTCTCCACTAGTTTGTTAATGTTTACCTCTCCATTCTGTACTACTACTGTGGCTTCTGTTGCTTTTTGGTTCTTCTGGTTCTGGTCTGAACTCTCACTCTCTCAGTTTCTGTCCCCAGCTTTTGGTGCTGCTTCTTCTTCCTCTTTCTTCTCTTCTTCTGGACTCGGGGGACTGCCAGAGTGCCTTTTTTTTTCTGTTGTATACCCTGTTCTGAACTCCACCTCCTTCCTTCTCCCCTGGCTTTCTTTTTTCTGTATTTTTCTTCCCTTCTGCTTCTTCTATTCTTTCTCCTCCCTCCCCCTCCCGTCTATTTGAATCTTCCAACCAAAGAGTATTCAATGAGTCTGACTGACTAACCTCTTAACATCTGAGTGCAGCTTCCAAACTTCTGGTAACTGAATGCCCACATGGTCTATTCTCATTACTTTCTGTCGTCTCTGATACATTTGCTGTAGTACTTGGATTCTTGATAGTAGGAGCACTCTTCCTGCACAGTCCACCGTCCTGAAGCCCCTTGAGCTTCTGTGCCTCTTTTTGAAGAGCTTTCCTCCTTATTGTTTTCTGTTTCTGGGAGTGAAACGATCGCCTCTACTTTCGTCCTATTTGGTCGATCCTCATTTGTTTTCTGATCAACAACCCCCTTAATGGCCCTATAATTGCACTGTATTCCTTTGAAGCAGAGGCTTCGGCCCTTCTTGCTGGTCTTAGAATTGCCAGAGAGATCCAATCTGTTCCTTTGACAGTTGAAGGCGACTTGTGGGATGTGATAGGTCAGGTCAACAGGTCTGGGGCAGGCCCTTGGAAGCTAGCCCATCTCCTTAATGAAACCAGTGAGATCTCCGAGTCCCTTGGTTGTAGCTACAGATGGATCCCCAGAGAACTGAACCAAGCGGCAGACTCTTTAGCTAAATCTGGATAAGGGCCTTTTTGTATAGTGCAAATATTTTACCTATTACTTGAGTGGGATTTTGATGATTTTTGTTATAGAGCCCTGTTTTTTGTACATCCTCTCATGTAGATCTCTCTTTTCACTGAATGAAAATGTTAAAAAAAAAACTTCCATCAGTGAGAGTGCTTATATGTTTTTCACAGGAACTGCTTCCTTGTCCCTCGAGTTGCTGGGGAACAGTTTGCTATTGTGGTTCTCTGTGGATTCTGTTAAAATTTGTTAAATTGTAAACTCTTGTGTTTTATTGCAGGCCCTTTGGGAGGATACTAGAACTAGGTCAAAGTGGGCTATTGTGAATAGGTGTTATTCACCAAGTGACCTGCCAGAAGTTGTGGGTCGACCATGCATGCCTGAAGATAATGAGGTATAGTAGAAGTGATTTCTCATGTTTTCAGTTTAAACATTCAATTTGCGTCCCATCATCTGGATCTGATAAAAGGACATTGCTAATTGATGGAAAATTTGGCCCTTTCCCCACTTCCTTTTTTAATTGTCTATCCACTGTTCTGTCTTCTACATAATTTCATACATTCTCCTGGCTAAACTCATACAGGTCTATGAATCTAATCATGAAAGCACCGTAATGGCTGGTTTAATTCAAGGTCCATGTGATGTTCTTCCTTCTAACAAGTTTAAGGAAGAAATTGAAAGACGTATGCATTTAGGTGATGGGGAAAATGATGGCCTACGACCAGTTTTCATCTGCAAGTATGTTTCTCCAGTTACGGGATTGTATTTCAAATTCTCATGGTTTCTTTACATTAATATCTTTCTACAAAGACTACACAATTCTAAGGTTTTTGTTCTTTGGATACCATCATGCCACATGACTTTGTTATTCCTTGATTTTTTCTCTTTTCTTTTTGAGATAAATTATGTTTATAACTGTTTACAGAAGCCAACAGTATCTCTCTGTGCAGTAACCATACCGAAAAGATAAAAAACAAACTTCTTTCTTTATGCTTCATCTACAACAGTGTTTTAAAAGGCGTGGGAGGCGTACGCCTGGAGGCACGCTTCCAGGAGAGGCGCTCCCAAAACGCCCTGAGGTGTATGCCAGAGGCGCTGACACCTCTGAGGCGTATGCCTCTTGCGCTTTCTTCATGAGGCGTGCTAGAGGCGTACGCCTCATGCACATTTGATATAAAAAGACAGAAAATAAAAGAAAAAAGAAAAAAAAGGAAAGGAAAAGTGAGATCCCTCCCTTCCTCTTCATCCTCTTCCCCTTCCTCCTCCTAACCCCCTCTTAAGGAGGCTTACGCCTCCTTGTGTTCGGGAGGCTTATACCTCTTGCGTTCTGAACTACGCCTCATGCCTCTAGGTAGTGGAACGCTTCGCATCACGCCTCTGCGTTTTAAAACATTGATCTACAAATGCATCTAACTTGTATTAAAAAATTGCTGTCTGTTCAGAAACATATAGAAGGAAGTTTTTTCCAAACTCCTCCCTAATATCAATGAGTATAATTGTGCTTCTGCTTTCCTTTTCACTTCTGTCATAGATGTTTCTTTTTTCCTTTCTCTCAAAAAACTCTTGGATGGATTGGCTTTTGCCATTTTGTGCTAGTCTCTGTGTGTGCGCAATAGTTTTTATTTATGCAAGAATGACTTTGTTTTGTAACCTGGATACATTGTCTTTAACTTTTATTTTATTATTATCTCTGCATTTACCCTTTAGTTATATTCTGAGAGAAAAAATAACTTTGGTTTTGCAGGTGGGCTTATGATGAATTTAAAGGTGTTTTCCGGCCTGTAACTGATTAATCTTAGTCATGCCCATTCTTTGGTACCATTGTCTTTTCTAGGCTTTTCATGGCCATGTGATTCCTAAGCGCTTCCTGTAGTCAGGTACATTTTTGTTTTCTTGTGCTATTGTTGTTTGATCTGCATCATATTCAATCTTTGCATTTCATAGAGAGGGACAATATATGGTCACACTATTTTGTAGCGTGGCAAGATTTGAATTGTTAACCATTTAGGTGGTGTTCTCCCACATGAAATGCTTTTGTTTTTCTTATTTCTCTAAAATGCCACATCAGCAAAAAAATGAAAACATGTTCTTTGATATGTGTTTTTTCATAACAAAGTGTTTTTTTTAGTTTGATTTAAAAAAATAACCTTGTTTCTGAAATGAAAAAGATGCTTTCAAAACTCGGAAGTATAAGCATGTTCACTTCCATCGGGCTGAAATATCACGTACCAGAATCTCCTATACATGATTTTATGCATGCTAGTTTAAAGATTCTATGTATCTAGTGAGAAAAAGAACTCAACACTTAAATGAATTTGGAAATTAATTATAAATATAAATAAAGATAAGAATAAGAATGGTGAGCCTAATCAGAATCTCTTTGTGAATATTGTATGCTTTATGATGTATAATATCAAATCACTAGAGGACAATTAAGTATATTGGGAATGTATAAAAGCACAAATACACATGGTATGATAGGGGATTCCAATAATAAAATGTATATGGAATACATGTAAAATGCCATCCACTCTTTAGACTCTGCTCATCAACAACAAACTAACATGTTCTTAAAAGTTAAAAGCTTTTTCTACTGATATCCATGTTCCAACTCTCTCTACAACCGATCGTAGGATCTCTTTGAGAATTTAAGCACGTTTTTGTGGTTTTAGTTTTGGAAACAAAAGAACACACTATACAATTGAAAGTTAATACAACATTTGATTAGAATCTTTGTATTTTTTTGTTTTTCTTGTTTCTAGAAAACACACCACAGCAACAGAGAAACAAAAACATGTTCTTGAATATTTTCTAAAAACAGTGTGAAACCATTTTCAGTTTGATTCAGAAAACAATCTGCTCTTTGAACTAGACATGCAAGGATGGATTTTTGGTTTTAGGATCGTAAAACTAAAAACATTATACAACCTAGAATGTGTTTTGTGTGCTTTTATTTTAAGAAAATAACATTTTCCCAAACCATTTATGAGGCTTAGGTTTTTTGGTATCATAATTTAGAAAGAACACAATTCATATTGGAGAACATACCCTTTGGTTTTCATCAATCTTCACATAATACACCTAAAACTGGACTTGACCAAATCATTCATCAAGTTCAAAAATGAACATGATACATTACCGCTAGATCCTCCAGTCATCCAATCAGTTTGCCCTTACTGTTTGGGGTGTAGAGGAACTGTGTTATGGCGGTTTTTTGTTTCTTACTGTTGAAGCATGAATACAAACATATGATGTGAAACTAGTTAAATGGCAGATATTGTTTTGTATTTAATTAATGTCTCATTTAGAAGGATATTTGTTGAGTTTCCTTTCTGATACTGCCTTGCACCAGGTATTCATTTAATTGCAGAGACCGGGAAAATTGATTCTGATGAGAAGGGCCACGTGAGAAGCCATGTTTTGTACAATATGTAGCAATAGTCGAGCTTGTATTCATCTCTTTAATTGTAATTGCAATTTTAATCCTTTTTTTATCCTTTTTGGTGACTCTCATCCCTAGTTAAAATTTGGGAGAGCTGTCTCTGGGTCATTGATTCTAAAATGTTCTTTTTATCAAAACGAAGAAAAAAAAATCTCAGTTAAATGTGTAGCGTTTTTAGTGCATGATATCTGAACTATTTGGATGAGTGGATCTATATGCTAGCTGCGCCAAGTTCAGTTAGCATATAAGACTAACCTTTTATTTTACTACGCCCCTGTTTGAGAACATTTATAAGTACTTTTAACAAGTGTTTCTTTTTAAAAGTTGGGACCATACATTATGTGGTTATTAAGTGATTTTGTGTTTGGTTAAAAAAGTGGGGAAAAATATTTTTTTCTAAGTACTTTAAAAAAGTGATTTCAAGTTTATTTTTTCAGCACTTCCTGAAGTAGTAGTACTCCAAAAAAATGGATGAATCAGTCCTTAATATTTTCTTGTAATACCTAAAATACCCTTGCATGAGAGTTGTACTTCCATTTCTACCAGGTAGTAGTTCCATTGGGAAGTACATGAGCTGAGTCAACCCGTTCCTTCTCCTCCAATCTCTAGATGCCGGTTAAATCTTGAAGCAAAAGCAATCACACAGAGCCAAGCACACAGGAGGTGGGAGAGCATTACCTGATGAGAATGTGGCTTGAAAACGATCTATGATAGAGGAAGTTGGAGTCTACTGGGGTCTCACACTTCTAGCAGCTAACAACTAGAAAAGGGGAAGTAAAGGTCAGTGACCAAATACTAGTTTCGGTGGTTGGTTTACGGTGGAATCTTGAATTGTTGCAATTGCTATCGTTTGGTGGTGCTGAGAAAATAGCTGAGTGATGTTTTGGTAGGTTGTTTGATATCGTGATTAGAAAATTTAGATGGGCTTGAGATGTTCAACGCATGAGTCAGAGATTGATGAGTTGTGGTGGAGGATTGAATTGATTTTCACCTTCCGTGCGTGGAGACACGGTGAAGGCTTCTTTGACTAGTTTGAGAGAGTTTGCAAAAATAAGGGAAGCTTTGGTCGGTGCTAGAACACCAGGACGCTCAAAGAAATCCCCTAAAGAAAAAGAGAAGAGATTATTGGGGGAGAATCATTTGCATCGGAGCTTTGATTACTTGATACGAGCCATCTTTCACTTAGATTTTCCAATTAAGGGAGAAGGAACTTTCTATATTCTATTGAAAAAAAAGCCTAAGCGAAGGATCCTTCAGTGGAAGAGGATTTTCTTTTCATTTTCCTTTTGCTTGGTAAGGGATTTGTGTGGTGATAGCCATGTCATATCTGGTGCACGATCGTTTGTTCATCGGCAACATCAGTGACGTTGCTGAAATTCTGCAGAACAGGAGCATTGAAATCACTCATTTTATTGCTTCTCAGCTTGGCATCCATCTCATTCTTTATAGAATGGCTCTGGTTTCTCAACTCGAAAGGTGAAGATGAATTGTGTTTTTTGATTATTATTATTATTAAGTATTTAGTATTTATTATTATTATTATTATTATTATTATTATTATTATTATTATTATTAATTGGGTCCACATGGCGATTTACGTGTGGATCCACATGGACTCTCAATTAAAATGTATAGCATAACATGTGAAAAGCATTGTACATATGTATGAGTGAAGTGGGGGCTAAAATTATCATTTGTATCAATATAAACACTTATGCGGAAAGTAGCTTACCAAACATCCCCACCCCAATAAGTGCTTAAAAATATAATAAGTGATTTGGAAAGTGGGTTACCAAATAGTCTTAAGTGGTTGTTAAAATAAGTACTTCTAAGAAGTACTTGTTCAAGTACTTTTTTTAACAACCACTTAATCATCAAACATGGCCTACGTTCCTTTAAAAATGGTAGTTTCACTTAATTTAATTGAACGATGCAATCGAAAGAAAATAACCTTAAGATCCAATGTTTTGAAATCTAGTGTAGGCCCGTTTGAGTTTTTAAGGTTCAAAGTATCAATACGTATTGGGCTGTATTGGTTGATATGCAAGGTTCAAAATATTGTTACGTATTGGTCTGTATCAATCGATATGTATCGTATCTGGGCCTTCCTGATATGCCCTTATGGGGGATGTATTGGGTCAGGCCATGGTTCAGAGGGTAGTCGGGACTTAAACTGACCCTTCTGTACTAGTTTTGAAAAAAAATAAAACATAAAAAAAGCATCGATATAGGCCAATACGCTCTACCGACGTATCAACCTATATTGATATTTTGAACCTTGCTTATATGAATCGTGTCAGGGGTTTCCCGATACACCTCTATAGGGGGTGTTTCAGGGTTCCAACTGGTTTAGAAGGTAGACGACCCCTTTGAAACAGATTTAAAAAAACCTAAAAAAAATAAAAAGAAGCTATCAATACTGTCCCATTATCGATGTATTGGGTGTATATATATTTTGAACCTTGGTTTTATCCATGAAATGAACTTACTTTTAATTTAATTTGGGTCATTTATTAAAACATTCCCTTTAGTTTTATGGATTTACTAAAACCTACCCTATAGTTTGTGTTTTATTAAAACACCCTTTTATTTTGCAACTGATTTATTTAATTGACCTTGCATTAGGTTGAAATGGAAAAATGCAGTTTTGACCTTAAGATCTGTTTGGACCAATATAATCTATAGAAAATATAAATAGAAATGTCATTTTTGCCCCTATTTAGACATGGACAACAATTATTTTCGATCAATTTTATTCTTTATTTGAAGAAGGAAGACATGTTGCAAATTAACTAATAGCCTAATATGCATTGTTCTCTCTTCTTCAATTTATTGAAATCAAACATTGGTGGTAGATTTGAAAATCAAACAATGGTTCATTTTAAAAGCTGAATATGATGCATTAGGGGTAATTTTGGAATAGAATAGAATAGGTTTGTTAGACAGTGTATGCCCTTAGTGAAGGGATGAGAGATCCATCGTATGGACGACCAAATCTTGCGGAATAAAGGGGCGAATTTCAAAATTTTTTCTCTCCCTTTCAACTCGGAATCGCATTCCCTATTTAGAAAATCATATTTTTAAGGATCAATCTTGAACCATAAACTGAACCAGATCTGAACCAAAAGGAGTAGGAGAAGATTATACCTGATACGGAGAAAAAGTATCTCCAAACAAAGGTGTTCACGCCCAAGGAAGGATCCAAAGACTGCTCCCACTGAACATGGCGCAGTGCAGGATGGAGCAGTATTATTCTCCAAGAATTCTGTCATTTGCAAGAAACGACAAGATGGCACGTGAGCACAACTTCCTATCAATTCTTTCTCAAAGAACTGATGTCAAGATCGAATCTTGACTTCTCCCACAACTGGAGATCGAACTGGATGTCTGGCAGCTGCAGGAAGGAGGCGACAAGAAAGATCTTTGCAAGGATTGCAGAAATCTTTCTTCTATGATTCATCTAAAGGCTGCTGCCCCCTCCTTCTTTTGTAAACCCAAAGGATTAGCTCCTAATCCAATTAGGAGCTGCTTATCCAAATCATATTTGGATCAGACCTCTCTTTAGGTGATAAGGATAAACCCTTATCTTATCTGTAGATTAGATCAACCTTCTCCTAATCTCATTAAGAGGTTTCTAGATTTGAATCATATTCAGATCTGGACTCTCTGAGTGGATAGAGTTAAGACCCTATCCTATCTGTTAATCCATCTCAGAATTCACCCATATTTAACTTATTAAATAAGTCTAGTTCGAAATGGGCTTTAAGCCCATTAAGCTTATGTGCTCATTTAACCTTCCTAACTGCTGCCCAGTTGGGATTCTTTGTATGGCGTGGGACCCAAGCATTGATCTGCACATGAACCACATGGGTTCGGCCCAACCTTTGCTACAAGGCCTGGCCGAATACACTGTTATGGACAGTGCACCCTCTGAAATCCATCAAATGGGCTCTATGGGCCCAACACTTACCCTAAGTGGTCCCTGGGCCAAGCCACCTTGTAACACCCAGGGACTGTGGGCAGATGCAAGATTAGCCCATCAGGTATTATCCTCAATGGCTTACACTTAACCTCTCAGTCCATAATGATCATACACTGCCCGACAAGAGAGGACCTCTCCCTCGGTTGCAAGGAATAGTGTTGCACCCTCTACTTATATGGATCCTGGGAAATAAAACCTTTTGAAAACATTTTAGAATTCAGTTGGATGACACTCGCACACACTCAGTAACTTGTAGAATTCTCCCCTATTCTTGCTGCCCCACCTAGTTCGATTTCCACCTGTGGAATTAATCAAGAAAGGTTTTTGATATTGTTTCTTGCTAGAAGAAACAATCTGAAGTCGTGCTTACCAGCCCTTGTTTGATTCTTACTGAAGAATTCAGGTTCTTGTTGAAGAACCATTTTGTTAATCCTACTTCACCACACACTGTGTCATCTTCAGTGGAGGCGGGTTTTGGTCTTCTCCTTGGGCGTGAATACCTACATTGGGAGTTATTGTTACTTCATATTAGGTATATCTCTCACTTCCCTTTTGGTTTAGATCTGATCCGGTTATTGTGTCATCTTCAGTGGAGGCAGGTTTTGGTCTTCTCCTTGGGCATGAACACCTACATTGGGAGTTACTGTTACTTCGTATCAGGTATATCTCTTACTTTCCTTTTGGTTCAGATTTGGTCCGGTTTTGTTTCAAGAACGAACCTTGAAAATGCATTTTTCTAAATTAGGGAATACAATTCACGGATGGGAGAGAAAGAAATTTTTCAAATTTCGCCCAACCTTCCTGTAGGGTTTGGCAATAGGAGTTGTGTTTTCCGTTAAGAAGTATCCATTCAACCTAGGCGTCAGATTACTTGGACTGTGAAGACAGAAAATTCTAATCAGACTGATCATAAATACCATTTGTCACTTCTTCTGGGTTCTTCCTTGGTCGTAGCACGAAGGTAACCCTAGTTGGAGGAGGCCGATGCTGTGAAGCTTCCTTTTTTACCTTCGCCTGATGCTATGAAGGCCTAGTTGTGTTCTTTGCACCTTCGTACAAGTTTTGTACATGGGTGTGTGATCCCCTTTGTCCAGGTATGTGTTGTGTTTAATTTGGTGTGTGAAGTTTGAAGTTTATAGCAATATACTTATTCTTCCTGGACTGTTTATTTGCTACAAGGAGCCCTTCAATAGTGTGTAC